TCACAAACTGTGAGATCGTGACCTGAGCCAAAATCGAGAGTCGGGTGCTTAACCGACCGAGCCACCCAGGTACCCCTGAACCCTCTCATTTTAAAGATCTCTCTCACCATGAATTTCTTTCTTTTAAGAAGTTCGGAATGCTTCATGGATATACACACGTCTACAGGATAATTTGTCTAAAATTTAAGTGGTAAAGTGAGACCCCAAGTAGAGTTAATTTCCAAATTTCCAAGTTAAAGACGACCAAATAAAGGGATCAAACGTAGCACTTAAATTCCTAACTTGAGACATTTTTGTTCTTTACGCTAACCCATACACTGTCAGACTAGGAAACCGCTGCGATTTTGAGATAAAAGTCTGGGTTAAGAAAAATGTGCATTTTCCAAAGGGAGGAAAGTACCATTCCTAGACATAGGTTATATGTAACTTAGTTAATATGGAGTGGTGCACTGTTCTTAAACATATCAACCTAAACCCATTGTTCTCTCAGAAACGACAGTTTACAAAGCACTTCTGAGATGTACTTTATTTTATTTTCATTTAAATTGTAGCTACTTAAATTTTGACTGGGTAGGGACGCCTGGGTGGCGCAGTCGGTTAAGCGTCCGACTTCAGCCAGGTCACGATCTCGCGGTCCGTGAGTTCGAGCCCCGCGTCGGGCTCTGGGCTGATGGCTCAGAGCCTGGAGCCTGTTTCCGATTCTGTGTCTCCCTCTCTCTCTGCCCCTCCCCCGTTCATGCTCTGTCTCTCTCTGTCCCAAAAATAAATAAACGTTGAAAAAAAAAATTAAAAAAAAAAAGTAAATAAATTTTGACTGGGTAATACCCCACATGGTTCCAAGTTCAGAAGGTGCAAAAGAAAACAAGGTAAAAACGCCTCCCTCCTATTTCTATCCTCAGCGACCTAATTCCCCTCCCTAGAGACAAACAACGTTATCAGATTCTTGTGTGTACTTTCAGAAATATGAGCATACGTTGTTCTGTAAAATATTTCTTTCCCTTACCTATATATCTTGAAAATCACTCCGTACCTGTAAACAAAGCATGTCTTTATTCCTTTTTTAGAATATTCGTTTTATGGATATATCAAAATGTATTTTAAAAAAGAAAATGTATTTGACCGGTCTTTTATTGGTAGCCCTTTAGATTGAATTTAGTTGTTTTCTTCTGCAAATACTATTGCCATGAACTGCCTTATAAATACGACATTTTGCACATGGGTGAGGATCTGTGGGAAAATATCCTCCGAGAAAATTTGCTGGACCAAAGGATAAATGCCTTTGCAATTTTTGTAGACATTGCCAAGTTGCCCTTCAAAGTGGTTGTACCAATTAATATTTTCACTGCTAAAGCATGAGACTATGTAAGCCACAATTTCGAAAGAAAAAAATATTCTTTTTTTAAAGTTTAGTTATTTATTCTGAGAGAGAAGAGAGGGGAGGGGCAGAGAGAGAGAGAGGGAGAGAGAGAGAATCCTATGTAGGCTCTTTGCTGTCAGCACAGAGCCCAACTGGGGGCTTGAACCCAAGAACGGTGAGATCATGACCTGAGCTGAAATCAAGAGTTGGACGCTCAACCAACTGAGCCACCCAGGTGCCCAAGAAGAAAGTATTCTTTTTTTTTTTTTAATGTTTATTCATTTTGAGAGAGAGAGACAGAGAGAGACAGAGACAGAGAGCACGAACAGGGGAGGGATGGAGAGAGAGGGAGACAGAATCCTAAGCAGGCTCCAGGCTCTGAGCTGTCAGCACAGAGCCTGATGCGGGGCTTGAACTCAGACTGTAAGATCATGACCTCGGCGGAAGTTGGATGCTTAACCGACTGAGCCACCCAGGCACCCCAAGAAGAAAGTATTCTTAACTTAACAAATGTAGTATGTTGTTTGATAAAGATGTGGGTTGTTACTCTAGACTTTAGAGCAAGTCCCTGATATCCAGCAAAGAAACTAGGCCAGATTTGTTCAAGACTTCAGATATCCTTCCTTGGCCTTTTCCTTCAACCTTTATTGTAACTCAGGATTTTGTTTTGGGTTCTGTGCTTGCAGTGTCTTCTCCCAGGTCCCCTCTCTCGCGCCATGTGGCGATAGCTTTGGGACTTCTGAACGCCCTTCTTATGTGTTTGCTGCTTGTCCCGTGGATTCTGTGCCAAGGTGAGTACTAACTTTAAGCGAACATCTTTTATTTTACCTACTGCTTAAAAAGTTTATTGATTTAAGTTATCGCTACACTCGACACGGGGCTTGAACTCAACGACCCTGACGTCAGGGGTCTCCGTGCTCTTCAAGTTGAACCAGCCAGGTCCCCCTATTTGACTTATTTTGTGTTATAAAAGCAACATAACATAACGGAAATTTTGAAAAATGAAAAGTAATGCCAACAAAATGAATCACCACTTGTATAAACAACATTTCCTGGGTACAGTCCCCTAGTCTTTGACTACAAGCATTTATGTAAATGTTTATTCTTTTTTTTTTT